AAGATACAGTTTTCAGTTGGTACTTTAAATTTTATTCTTATCTTTTCTTTTAGCTGTATCTTCAAGCCAGGATGAAGGGAGACTGGGCAAGACTCTTACGCCCGACACTGCAATTTGGTCTTGTTGCTGTATCCATCTACGTAGGCCTTTCTCGAGTTTCTGATTACAAACACCACTGGAGCGATGTGTTGACTGGACTCATTCAAGGGGCTCTGGTTGCAGTATTAGTTGTAAGTATACAGGGCAGCAGCCTACATCTTGATATTGGTAAACATTTGGAGATATAGGTAGAAAAATCCCCAGTGAGAAAACTATACAAAGGCAGAGAATGTGGTTCAATAATTGGTGGTGGGTAAGAATCCTAATGTCATTAGAAGTCATTTTCGGATATGCAGCAGGTAAAAGCGATTACTCATTGCAAAACTTAGAAAAATCCTACTGTATATTTTTATTGCAAAAGGTTCCAGCTGTAAAAATATTTTAGCCATTATTCACTTTGGTAAGAAGTGGGGAGGGGGGAAGGATTTTTTTATTAAGTGCCTGCAGAATGAAGCTATTTGCCCAAAACATAACAAAGCAACTCTCAATTTTGAAGACTCTCCTTTAATAAAACTTCATTTTAGCTATTAATTTTTTATCCTCTTAATCTGTACTTCCCAATGTATATCCTTTTGTTTATACATTTTTATAAAATGATTATGCAACTTTCTGTATGATTTTGAACTTAAGTACATTATATTAAGTGCTTTGCCTCATTGTAAGTATTGTCTGTTCTATATAGGCTGTATATGTATCAGATTTCTTCAAGGAGAAAGACTCTCCTTTTAAAGAAAGAAAAGAGGAGGACTCGCATACAACTCTGCATGAAACAGCAACAGTGGGGAATCACTACCGGAACAATCACCAACCTTGAAGGGTGGCACGGAGCCCAGATGAAGCTGGCCTGCTTTCTATAAAGGAGAAGGATCGCACCAGAGGATGCACCTTTCTTCCTGGTGTACAGGCCTTTAAAGGGACTGCTGCTGCTATTCCTCTTGGATGCCCACTTTACCTGTGTGTATATAGTCACATTTAACACAATGGTTATCTAATAGCTCTGAGTTCCTTAAAAAAATACCAAGCCTTTCACTAAAACAGTGCCCCACTTATACATTTTTTTATTAGAAAATGTAATGCTTATGTACAAATCTGTATGTAACATGCCTTGTAAGAATGATGCTTGACTTAAATATAATACAGATTAAAATGTTTGAGGACAAAATATCTTGAGATGGGAGAACCAAATCAATACTTGTAAGCATTTGTAGTCAACTGTAACCAGACAGGTGGTGAACAACTTGAAATTGCCACATTCCTTTAGCTGACTCTATAAGTAGAGGCTTGCAGCAAACACAATATCTCTCTTGATTTTGGTGATTCCTAAGAGAAAAGAAAATACGGTTTAAACTTCAAGATCACAAATACCCCACTCAACTGGGGTTTTAAAAACAGCGCTACAATCCTGATTAAATAATTAAACTGGTGAAAGAAAAAAAAAAATCCTGCTGTGTGAAAGACACCTACACAAGTTCAGAGCTACCTTTCAGAGGTGGAAAGCTCAGAAACCAAACCCGTTATGACCACTGACTCTAAAGCACCCCATCATCTGTGTTTGTGTGTAAAATTATCCAAAGGACTAAGCTGTCAAAAGCAGTTAGTTGATCCAAAAGCATAGATTTTTCAACCTATATCAGAAAGCAATCTATTTTCAGTTACTATGTGAGATTCATTCTGGACTATGCAGGACACGTATAAATTTTGTTTTTAAAATATTCATACCTGGACTTAAACCCTGGAGCACTGGTGGTACAGTGGTTAAGAGATTGGCTGCTAACCAAAAGGTAAGCAGTTGGAGTCCACCATCTGCTCCTTGGAAACCCTATGGGACAGTTCTTTTCTGTCCTGCAGGGTCACTATGAGTCGGAATTGACTTGACGGCAATAGGTTTGGGTTTTTTGGACTTAAACCCTGAGTGATGAAGTAAGCCTGCTTCTATCAACAATTTGGAAACATAAGCCAATTTTCTGCAAACCCTTTCTCCTCAGGACACGAACTTGTTAGCAGTAATCACTAGGATTGATTGCCTGATTACAGCGTGGATGTACTGTTCTTTGATGCTTTACAACTCGATAGTTCTCTTGGCTGAGATTCAGGTGAAAAGAACAAAACTACTTAAAAGCATGCTTAAGTGCCCCTCCCCCAATTACTACCACTTTGGTCTAGCCATCCTTTCTTGATCTGGTCTCCCACCTTAATATTCTATAGTCTGCCTACTGCCTACAATGCAACAGCAACAATTATCCTTGTAAGAGCAAGTCAGAGCACACCAAATCCTCCAGTCATTTCAGAGTAAATAAAAAACGGGGGCTGGGAGCTATATGATCATTTCCTTTCTTCCTCCAGCCGCTACTACTATTCTACTCACTGCTCACTGTGCTCCAGCCACGCTGGCCTCTTGCTGTTGAACAAAAAACCAAGCATATTCCCCACCTCAGAGCCTTAAAATGTCACCTTCTGAGACTCTCTCTCATCCATCCCCAACCCCCTATTCTTTTTACCTGCTTTGTTTTTTTCTTGTAGTACTTACCACCATCTGATATATTTTAATTATTGACTTGTTGACTGTTCTTCTCTTTCACTAGAATGTAAGCTCCATGAAGGCAGGAATTTGTGTCTTTTTGTTCACTGCTGTATCCCCTAGTGCTTAAAACAATGCCTGGCATTGTAAACTACAATAAATATTTGTAAATCAATGTGTGTATATATGATCTCAAAACTTTTTCCCACACAAATGCTCTACAAGTTTACATAAACACTGTTAGATGTCCCTTTATGGTAATCTGACCGAGCATCTGACAGTGTCCTCCTAGGTTATGGTGAAGGGCTTGAGTCTCACAAGATTGACCTGCATCATCAGGAAAAGCTTATGGATTGGATACTAACCTTCTGCAAATTTATTCTCCAGCTCAGTGTTTCCAATGGCTTTTGCTGCTTGACACATCTGACGAAGCAATTCTTCCAGGCGCCTCATACAACGGATTATGCTGCCTGCATAGAAATGGAAACAAATCATTTGTAAAACAGAAATAATCAGGAACAGGAGAATTTTAATTAAGAGGCAAGGCAAGAGAACATGGGATGATTAACAGAACTTTGAGGGACTTCCCATGCAGTAAATCAGCCAGCAAACTTGGCTGCCTGCTAGGCACTTAGCACTATGCTAGGCACTTGGAAAGCTACAAAGGTGAAAGGTTTACTTCCCACTTCTAAGGAAATACAGAGAAAGATTAGATTTATTATTATGTTTTGACACCTGCTATCACAGAGGTAGGTGAACAAAATGCCCTGGCAACAGAGAACAATTGTGGGTGAAGGCTGGCAAAGATGACAAGTAATCTGGATCTATGAGAATGAGGAGGTCTTTGTCAGGCAGTGACAAGGGAAGGCCACTGATTTGAGGCAGAGACGCCTGATAAACTGAAGCTATTTTCAAGGACCGCTGAGGGTAGACTACTGAGGTGTCTGGACAGCATCCTGTGAAGAAGAGAATGTTAAGAGGACCTTTTTACGAAGGGGAGTAATAGGATTAGATCTGTGACTTAAAAGGTATCATCAATCATTCTTCTTGACCTTAAACAGACTCTTAAATCAGTTTTCTTTACACATTGTATACTCAAAGAAGCACAGAAGAGTAGACAAGCTTTTTCCCATGGAACTTGACTCCCTGTTTGAGACAAGTGTTTGTTATTAAAGCTGAAGCTATAAACACAGTTTAACTTCTGTCAGACCTGTGCAGTAAGGCACCTGGGATCCTTTCCTCTAAGTGCTACGTGACTGAGTAAAACTCTTGAGACTAAATTTCTACTGTCTGAAATGAACTTTATTGAGGAATATCAGTTCTCTCTTAAAAGGCATCCAAGAGGAGCAATACGCTCTTTAACTAGGTCTTCGCTGACTCCTTGCAACACTGAAACAATGCATAATCATTTAGAGTTTTCTAATAATGCCCAATGCTGAAGGTTCCTTTTTACCTTTTTATGCCCTCCACATTATGCTTCAGAGTGCCCAAGGAAGGAAAACAGCTGAGAATTTAACTCACAAAGCAGAAGGGAATTTTAGCTTGGACAAAGGCAAAAGTGCAAGCCTTTAATCTAACAGGGTAGCAGAATCCAACAAGAAGTGCCTATGCACATGCAGAGCATCTCTTCCAGGGAGGTGACCCCACAAGGGGTCTGGGTCGATGAGGTTTCTGAACAAGCCTATGGGCCAGAGCAATGAGAACAAAAAGGTGTTACTGTTTCAGGTAGGTTTCTGGGGTAAGATTGTCCAACAGGGAGAGGACCACTACTAGCACACATGCCACCTCAGACATATGGAAATACCCTACTTAAAAGGATGATGTATCTTCTATATATAGGATGTTCATCTAGTGAGATGAGACATCAGGAGTTAGAAGAAAAGACAAGATGGACACCGGCGTTATAGTCCAGATTCTGTCTCTAGGTAAACTAGCTCTGAGATCTAAGCCCTTAATCCACTCTTACTTTCCCTTCTTACCTGTTAAGCTTAATAAATTAAAAAAAGAAAAAAGAAAAAAAAAAGATTATGCTACTTAATCTGCATAAGAGATAAGAGAGGCACAAGTTTTTCGAAAAGGGCAAAGCCCTGAAGTAATTCGGGTTATAATATAGCCCTTTAGCCAAAATATTCAAAGCCCACAGCTTTTTTTGTCCTTCCTCTCGTCCTATCAAAAGGTCCATACAGTTCTTAGAGAAAATCCCCAGCCCTCAATTACAGCCTATTTCCACTATTTTAAATACAATTCTGTCAACATTATTTGGCTCCCAGAAAAGTTTATTTGATGACAATCAACAGTAAAACATGACAGCCAAAATAGAGACAAATTCCTCAAAATTCAACCATCAAACACTAGGGGCAAGAATGACCTTAACCTTTTCCTCCCACATATACTCACATCTTGAAATAACCCTGAGGGCTTTCCTGTATTATATAATTGATGTTTATAATGATACCTAGATATCAAGAATGGGTTAAAATTAGGCTGAATACTTTTGAGACAGAAGAGTAATGTTTGGCATTTTCAGAGCACTTACTTTGTGCCTGGTCTGTAGTCTGTGTTGTATGTGCATTTTCTTGTTTGGTCCTCACAATTCCACGAGACAGTATACTGTTGTTATACTCATTTTACAAAGAGGGAAAAGGAGAAGCTCAGAGAGGTTACATACGTAACTTGGCCAGTGTCGGAGCCAGGAGTAAATAAATGATGGAGTCAGGACTTAAATCCACACAGTAAGATTCTAGAGACCAAGCCCTTAATTACATTATACTGCAATACAATAAAAATGATCTATCTGTATTTTCTAAACTTTCTGTAATAAATGTTTAATATTGTTGTAAACTTGTTATAAGTAAATTCAGCTTATACGTTTAAAATAATTAAGAAAAAAATTTAATTTCTAATAGTAAGATTTAGTCCTTAATCTAAACTTCTGTAGAAATCTTCATTGCCAGGTAATGCCAAAGAATTTACATTAATGAGTTTCAAGAAACAAAAGTAGTAAAAAATGACAAGATCAAGTCAGATAAAAAGGTCTGTTTGCCAAATTTGGCAATTAGGTAGTCACTGGTGACTTTGGAGCCCTGGTGGTGCAGTGGTTAAGAGCTCAGCTGCTAACCCAGTGGTTGACAGCTCAAATCCACCAGCTGCTCCTTGCAAACCCTATGGGGCAGTTCTATTTTGTCCTGTAGGGTCACTATGAGTTGGAATCGACTCACTGGCAATGGGTTTGGGTGACTCTGTTGAGTAATTTCAGTGAAATAGTCAGGGCACCAGATTAGTGTGGATCAAGAAGGAAATGGGAATTAGGGAACTGAAGATCTATTTTTGAATACTCTTTCTGTAAGTCTGGCTGTAAGGCAGCAGGAGGTTAAGGTGATGATGACAACACTAAAAGAAGGACAGCAGCAGCTAATATTTATTGAATGCTATGTGCCAGGCACTGTGCTAATGGCTCTCCAAGCATTATGTTAGCCTCACAAGATGGGGGAGGTAGGAACTATTGTATCCTCCCCATTTTATAGCCAAAGAAACTGAAGCCCATTTACTTGCCCAGGATCACAGATCTAATGAGTGAGTGGGATTTGAATCCAGGATTTGTGCTCTTAGCTACTATGTTATGTTGACAGCTAAGAAGTTGTGGATGAGAAATTTAAGCACATTTATATGCTAAAGAGGCAACAGAAAGGAGATGATTCAAGACTGAAGGGGATGGAGT